CTATATTTATGTAAAAATGCTGTATTTCACAGCATCATGAGTACACTTTCACAGCTTGTGTGACTTGTTACAATTAAACAACTTTTGACAACTACACAACAGGAAACAACAGCAAAAACTTCAAGATTTTGGTATTATTTTAAATGTGTTTCTAATTTATTTTTTGTCATAACATTATTTCAGTGGCCTCTAAAGCTGGGCATTTAGGGACATTTGCTAATTGATTAATCAGTTATTTTCAACTAATAACAGATAGTGTATTATGTAGTTTTGTGCTTAAACAAATATAATAGCAATATATTAATTACTTGTTTAGCTGGAACAATTAAAAAATAGTAATACTATGTAACCTTAATTTCAATTAGTTGATTATTTTTGCAACATTAATAAATTTAATTCTAATAACTGAAAAGTTGGAATAACCAAAAGATTAATAATCGGGAAAATTAGTTGATTATTTTTATGATATTAATCGATATAAGAGCATCAATTACATCAATCAAGCATCATAAAAAATAACTGAGTAAATTGCCTGGCACTAGCTGTTTCTGTAAAATTAGTCTGATAGACTGTAGTTAAATAGTGCAGAATATTTTTAAGTATTGTGTAGTTGATTAAAGATTAAACACTAAGTGATTTACAACCAACTTTATAGATGTGTATTCAACGGTAGGTTTGTCAATTTCACTTGAGAGTTTGTACTATTGGGCTCGTGTAGTCTTGTGTCAAGCTATTCACTTGAGAATTTGTACTACTGGGCTCATGTAGTCTTGTGTCAAGCTATTCACTTGAGAATTTGTACTACTGGGCTCATGTAATCTTGTGTCAAGCTATTCACTTGATAGTTTGTACTACTGGGCTTGTAAACAAGTCCATTTTTAATATTTATTTATTGTTGCACTGAAATGAAAGTCGGCTGTACCATTAGCTTCTAACTTTTGGAGAAATCAAGTAATCCTGCGATGTGAAACCATGTTAGCTTGGTACAAGACTACACGAGCCCAATAGTATAAAGTCTCAAGTGAATAGCTTGACACAAGTCTATATGAGCCCAGTAGTACAAACTATCAAGTGAATAGCTTGACACAAGACTACACGAGCCCAGAAGTACACATTCTCAAGTGAATAACTTGACACAAGACTAAACAAGCCCAGTAGTACAAACTATCAAGTGAATAGCTTGACACAAGATTACATGAGCCCAGTAGTACACATTCTCAAGTGAATAGCTTGACACAAGACTACACGAGCCCAGAAGTACACATTCTCAAGTGAATAACTTGACACAAGACTAAAATAATTAATCTTTTCTGCATTTAGTTAATAATACATGAACTCCTAAATTCATCTTAATTTTAAAACAGAGAAGATAATATAAATGTGATAAAATAAATTATAAGACTGAACTGGAAGCAAAAAGTCATTTTTAACTTGTTTTTTGTAAATTGTTTGCAAAAAGTAAAATTAAGAATCTGAGCTCCAGTCACAGAATTTCATTCAAAATAAAATTCCACAGTAAAATGCACTTACATACAACTGCAAAATTCCAGAAGGGCTGTACTTATCATAAGCTACAAATGTAGTGTTACTTTGGGTAAGATTGCTTTCACAGTCAAAGTTATAGCAAAATAATATTCATTACTCCTTATTAAAAAAAAGTTATTGATAAATAATTTGGTTATTTAACTGTGTTTGTCAAAATTACTAGACCTGTACCAATAACGGTCTGACAGTATGTAAAACCATTAAGTCATTAACCTGTTTAATTATGACTAGCTCTAGTTAGGAAGAACTAAAAAAGAAACAGCATAGATGTCATCATAAAAACCTCTGTTAGGTTTATCGATTTTTAAGCATGCATGTGTGTTTCTATTTTCTCTCAGTTTGTACTGTAAAATATAAACATATTAATAATATTGATGTGTTTTCTAAAATTCTGTTGGTATCAACTACTTCTTGCTTAAAAGCTTACGATGGTTTTTATAGCTGTAAAGTTAAGTATTTTTCACATTTTTTCATGCTAATGATGGAATTAGAGGAAAAAAAATTACAAAAACATTGATAATTAGAGATTTTTTTTGGTATTACCATGTAAAGATGTTATCTAGTATCATCATAAGTTTTCTTGCCAATTAGTAAACAATTTAATGTTTTTTTCCGAATTATATGTCACTAGCATTGCTCGGACGAAAATGACTTTAAATATTCTGAGTTGTTTTGATTAAATCAACCATATTAATTGAAATTTTTTTCCAAAAAAAATCTAAATGATTTATTTACCGAACTAAATATTTTGATTAAAATCAATGAAAATAACAATGCATATAAATAAACAAAAACAATATTGATCCTGCTTCTTGCATGTGCTTTACTTGACATTTCAAGTTTCCAAAACAAAATTCCCTATTTGGTGTTCTGATTTCTCCTGTGTGGTCAAATGTTGTTTGCGGCATATTGTGACTTTATTATCGTTCCACTGATGAATAACACAACGTAAATGAAAATTTGCAGATTCCAAACGTTTTGTGTAAAGTCATTGCATAGGTGATTCTTGCGAGTACATGCAAGCAATGCAAAAGATATGGCTGAAGCAAGCCTATTTAGTTGAGGGAGTGTACATATATGTTTGAAAGAAAGCACCATCCATTTTCAGTTAAGGGGAAGTAGAGAGAAGGCATGTATGTGTAGAATAAAGAGGGAAAAACATGAAAGAAGAAACCCAAGAAATAGTAATGGTATTTTCAATCTGTTATTAGTTTCAAAATACTTCACTGCATACAATTTCATGTATAACAGTTTAGGATTAAAGCTTGATTTGTATTTTTTTTTAATTTGGAGCAGAGCAAAATGAGAGATATCTGTGCTAGCCATCCCTAATTTAGCAGTGAAAGGCTACAGGGAAGGCAGCTAGTTATCACCACCCACACTAACTCTTGGGTTACTCTTTTACCAAGGATTAGTGGGATTGACTGTCACATTATAACACCCCCACACCTGAAAGGACAAGCATGTTTGGTGGGACGAGAATTCGAATCCGCAACCACCAGATTGTGGGTCAAGTGCCCTAACCACCTGGTCATGCCAGGCCCTAGGATTAGAGTAACTTGATCCTACGTTGTTGTGCCAAAAGATGTCTATCATTAAATGAAGAGTAAGTCAAAAATGTATTAAAAAAAATAGGAAGACTGGTCCTCACATGAGAATATTTGATAAGTTAATTCCACTAATTTCCCAGCTCTAGTACCAACTGTACTAAATAAAGCCTCTGGACACAACTTTAAGAAACTGAATCAAATTACACCATAAACTTTGAGAAAATACACGGACACAATGATGCCAAAGATGGACAAGTTAATTTTTAGCATTTAAGAATTTATACATTTTTCTGTGTATTAATTTTGTTAGTTTTTGTAAGATCAATTTGCAATAATTACAAGTTAATTTCTATAACAGATCAATAAATATTTTGTGTACACAGTTCATAAAATGACAAGTGTTGTGTGTGATAATAAATTTGCACACTACTGTATTTTAACCACAATCCACTGCATACTCATAAAACGTAAAATCTTATTTTTGTTTCGCTACTTCTTGTAGTGATGACTACAAGCTAAAAAGCTTACAACATGGCCATATATCACGGAAATAGTACTTGCCATTAGACTTCTATCAATCCTTGTAATACAACATTATTTTACAAAAAAAATCTACAACTTCCTTTACACATATTCAGTTCTGTGTGTGCTAAGCTTCTTTCATATAATGATAACATTGAAACTGAAGCATGTTTGGCCTAAGATATTTCATGATAAAAACTTAAGACTTATTTAAGATACCTACACAATGCAGAATTACTCAGAATTACAGTAATTTTTGACAAAGTTTGGCAAAATCTGAGTAATATTTAAAAGTCACTCCAAGTCTTTAGTCCTACACCTAGAACTGTCTTCTGTTCCCAATTCCAATTCTTTTTTTTTTTTTTTTATGGACTAATTTCTTTTTGAATATTTTTACAGTTGATGAAAGATATTTATTTTCTCTTATAGAAGAACATAAAAAATACCTAAATTCCAAGAAAATTAATAATAATAATAATAATAATAATTAGAGAGACTGGTGCCAATTTGATACAAAATGTCAGTCTTGGTTCAGTTTTTATACTTGACAGTTATGTTGCCTTATTAGCATTTTTTTTATGAATGTTAACACCCAGTAGTGGAGCAGAACTACAGAGCTGTAATCTACCATAAAAATGGTTGCAGGCTAGATTTTATTACAACAGTTTAGTTACATTAAAATCATGCCTAACAAGTATTTCACAGAATTACACTTGTTAGTCGTTTAATTTTTAAATTAACATTGACTGAGGTGACCAAGATATGAAAATTTTATAATGAAGATTTGAAATATTTTGTGTTGAAATACTATCGTCATCATATTTTTAATTAAATTTTTATATTAAAAATCTTTAAAGGTAAATTTATTTTTTTAAGTTGCCTAGAGCACAGAAAGAAAGTCAAAAGTTTACACACATCAAACATTTTGAGAGTTAAAACTTAAATAACAAAAATTCAAACAGACCTCCCCCCCCCAAAAAAAAGACTTAGAATATGCTTATTGTTTTCGTGCTTTGGATTTCACAACGACAGTCCATATAATAATAATGCACTATAACTGTAACAGTATAATTTATAAATACCCAATTTACCTAAAGTGTAAAACTGAATATAATGTTCCGAAATTACGACTCAAATGGTCAATATATTACGATTAAGCCTAGGAGGCTATTCGCTATAGAGTGCCACTGCCATATTGTTTGTTACTGTTACTAGTGTTAACTATGTGACTACTACTACTAGTGTTAGGCGTGAGCGTACTTCAACTTAACAAAGTACTTTTCCACTACTCATCACTAGAAAAGTATCCCACAGACTACCCTTTTTTAAATAATAAAACTACAAAACAATATACCTTACTTTCAAATCATCTAAAAAACTTACTTTATCCAAATCCCCGTTCTAGTTATAAACTATCCACTTCGTTAATTTTCCGCGTGAAGCAACCCGCTCGAACAGAAAGATGCTTCCAGGTTCCACTACATATATATAGAGGGAGTACCCCCTTTCTATATATATTTATGGTTTGCACTAAAGATTTTTGAAATTTTGGCGTTGTGCATAAAAAACTTAAGGAAATTCTCAAAAATCAAATACTAATCCTGAAATATGTCCTGAATTTTTTTATGTAAAACATTTTCTCTGTTTTAGCATTAGCAAAACCCAATTATTTATTTTTTATCATCACATATGAAAAAAATAATTATTTAAAAAAATGATGAAAATATATGTTTGTTGAAATCATAAATAATTTTCACGTTAAACTGGTACACAATTAAAATCATTTTATTTAGGCCTATCTATGGCCAGCAAAAAGTTGACGACTCGACATGTTTCGGCGTTACAAGTCATCCTCAGGAGTAAAAACGTAACGTCGAAACATGT